TCTAAAATTCTGTTTTCACTTTGTCATTAAGGGGTACTGAGTGTAGATTAATGAGAAAAAAGTGAATTTGAACGATTGTAGTATCAGGCTGCAATATAACAACGTTGAAAAAAGTGAAGGGGTTCTGAATATTTTCCAAATGCACTGTACATTGAAAAAATGAAACTTGATTTACCCAATCTTCTGCTGACCCATCTGTCATGAAGTTAGAAGAGGCACCAAGCAGAATCAGATCAAGATCAGATCAAGTAATTTGATCATGAGTCAAATTACTCAGGATAAAATAAAATGCTAGATGAAAAACCTGAGTTGGTCTAGGAAATCATGGAGTTGAGATTCATCTAGAAATAAGCCTCAATGACTTCATTATGGCTTATATCTGAGTAGAAAAGAGTAGTTAGTGCCTTACATTGGGTGCTTTAAGCTTGTAATATGCACTAAGAGGACCCTGCAGGTTGTATTCTTCCTTCATTTTTCAATTTTTAAGAAAAGGAGTTACAATGGAAAAATAGCTTTGCAAGCTTATTTCCTATGTTGTTTTCAACAACTGGGCTGGAAATTATGTGTGTTGTCTCCAATAAATGGGGCTGGAAACTTTTTCTGCATCAATTCTTTGCAGGAATTGCTGCCCATTCAAATAGACAAACATTTTGGCCTAAATGGACCAACAGCAACATTGTAAATCACAAGGTTACTCACTGATCACATTAATACATGATGTAATCATCTCTAATGAAAAAGCATAAATGTGTTAAAACTAAATCAGCAGACTAAAAGTTTCTTATAAGATTGATAATGCCGACCATAATAAAAGTTGTATAAAACTACATACAGAAACAGATGACATAATAATACAGTAGTGAACTAGTGTTTCTTCTGAATATCTTCAGATATGGTAATAAGGCAGCAAGCAATCTTCAGAGGTAGAACTAAGAAAAAAAGTATAAAAATATGTTGCTTAACATTTATCCATTCAAATACTTTAAATGAAAGTAATGACAATGTTATATAGCTTGGTAATGAAATGTTTGTAAGAAAGTTAAGTTCAGCAACACCAAGTTCCCAGTCAAGACTGAGTCCACACAATGCATCAGAATATAAAGTATAAAGGTTTTATAAAGGGTGCTATCTATATCAACTTCATTCACACAGTCATTTAATCGTATTTCATACTCAGACTGGGTTCCTATATCTACTATGGTTTGCAGACCACAATAGTCAGGAGTTTTACAACACACCTGGAAAGAGCACTAGGTTGGAGAAAGCTCTCTAAGAGTATTTGGAAACACTGATGCTCCAGGTCTCATCAGTGACGTAGTGTCATGTGGTGGGCTGCAGGAAGTGTGACTTCTCTGTCATGGAATGTGTCTTGTGGAACAACCTCCCCTGAGATACAGACAGCCCCAACCTTGTTGGCCTTCCGGAAGGTTGTGAAGACACAACTCTTTCCCCAGGCACTGGGGCCAGGATGTTGATGGAATTCTGCTATGGTTGCCATTTTGTTTATATGTTGATAATGTGATTCAATTCAGTTTTCTTTTCTACTGGTTTTGTATAGTTTGTTATGTTTTTATTTCTATTTGCACCCAGAGTTTCCTGGATAGATGGGTGGTTATATACATTTGTTAAATAAAAAGATATATAAACCAAAATCAAACCCTATTCCTTAGCATAATTTAAAAATCGTTACAAACTGACCTGTATTGCTAACATCGAACATTATAGGTTTTATGGAAGCAACTGACACTCTCTGCCTTCAGAAGATGTAAATGTGAGGGGTAAAGTCCAACTTTGGTATGGGTCAGAATTTCACCCAAATTCATAAAATATTTTCTAAGGCATATCAGTGATATTGCAGGGCATCATACCTGGAGGGCACCAAATTATGGTAAGCTGTTCTAGAGCTTATACAAAGCTTTAGTAAGGTCTTTAAGTGTCTACAATGGGCAAAGTAAAGAATTTGAGATATTTGTTAAGTCCCAGATTACCAACTATAGTCATCACCAAATTACTGTTTGGATGTCTATGAAAACAATATTTACATGCTACTTCTGAATCAGCCAAAAGCTGTGGAAGAGTTTCAGTACCAACATTAAAAAAAAAAGTAATTCAATAAATTCATTTCCATTTGTTTCCTAATGAAACTATTTAAGATACAGAATAAAAAAGCCCCTTGCCAATCCATTGGATTCCTGAACAGTACATCACTATGTTTGAGACAATTCTTTCAAACTCCAGACTGTTAACAATACTTCTGGAAAGCCTGAAATTAAAGGTTTTTTTTTTTATTATTATTATTGAATGAAGAATACTAGGTATAAAGTTAGGCCCTCCTGAGTTCCTGAAATTAGTCCTACCTTATCAGTGTATTTTTTTCCCTGTAAGAATTTGAGTCCAGTCCAGGCCCTAGGCATCCTCAGAATCTGTACACAATCATATTTAATAAAGCCCTTTTTTTTCTGTAGATCACAACTCCAGCTGAGTAAGTAGTAAACATTTTGACAAAGTGCTAAATGAACTGGAATTGGATTGTGAACATGGAGAAAGTTAAATAGAACTGCATTACAACATGACCATCCAGCTTATTCGGAATCCAACTATACTTTAGATAGGTCGGGCCTTCTTTTCAACAAGCGCGAATAAGCATTCAGCCTTAAAAAGAACCATTTCTTGAGAAAAAGATGGTGGGAACAAGAGTGTGGTAAAAGGGAGGGATTTTTTCCCCCCAGGCTTAGTAATCCTGAAACCAGTAGGTGGCCCCCGATCTCTCTCAGTCGCTGTCGTCTGCAATTCGTGGGAACGAAGGAGGGACCAAAGGGATAGTCCAAATGTCCTTTATATGCATGTTCCTGCTCTCTGCCTGGCTGTGCGCATGGAATCTGTGAGCTAATGCAGGGCTGGCGAAGTGCAAGAAATTCTCTTCTGCCTAGACGAGCTTTCTCGCCCGAACTCGAGTGTTTCTCGGGCGGGCAGTCAAGCTGCAGCTCGCTCTCGCGAGGGGAAGAGGCCGCCGCTTGGCTGGCGTGCGCTGTGTGCGCCTGAAGGGAAGCCCCCGGCCGGGCTGGGGTCTGTGCGAACCAGGAATGCCGCCAGCGCCGCCTCCACCCACGCCTTCCGCTTGCACCTCTGGCCAGGAGGTGGCTGCGTGAGGCAGGAGGGGAACCGGGAAGAAGAGAGGGAAGCTCGTCCGCGGCCAGGAAGGAGGAAAAAGCGAAAGCGGAGGAGCGCAGACGCAGCAGGGAAGGGAGATTAGCGCCGTGCGGAGGCAGCTTGGACTGCGGTCTTTTCCTTCGTGAAGACAGTCCCGCCTGCAGCCGAAATGAAGAGGCGTCGTGTAGCAATAATCTTGTAACTATCCCGTTTTTCCAATCTTTTTAAATCCCCCTCCTCCTCCGAAGGCGGCGGGGAGACCAGCACCAGCAGGATTGTGTGGCCCTTTTCCTCTCCCTTTTTTAAACAGCATATTGGAATTCATTCTCTTCGCCTGTGTGGCAACTAGGAAGGTCAGGGCGGAGCGGGGGAAAGGCGAGTAATTGTCACCAGCAAGCAACACATTCACCTCACTCGCGCGCCAAACGGGGAAGGCACAGCCGCGATGACTGAAGAGAGCGCGGACGTTCCCAAAGAGTTGCTGGGTAAGCATGTGCGCTCCCTCTCCCCTTCGGGTTAATTGTGGACACTCGAGCGCGGGAGGTTGGAAGGGGAGGAGGAGCCGTTTCCCGACAGCGGTATTAAGGTGAGGGGTGAAATCTCGCACCCCCCCGCACCCCGCTGCACCCGCAGTCTGTTATCCTTTGCGTGAAATGCTCCATCGGGGAGGAAGGCGTGGCGGGGAAGGTGAATCGGGGAGGAAAAGGGACGTTGGCTAAAGCTGAGGCGCTCTCGCTCGCCCTTTGGCTCCGCTGTTCCTGGAAGAGATTTGCTTATGGGGGGGGGGAGGGAGCGGGCAGAGGGAGATTGCGCAGCCTTTGCAAGCCTCGGTAATAATAGGCGAATGGAGCGGAACGTTTGGCATCTGTAAGCAAACTAAGTGTAAGCGCTGTTAACCCCTTGAGGCGCTGCTGAACGCGGCTTGTTCCTTCGTGCCAAGCTTTCCTTTTCTTCCTTGTCTGACTGGCACCGAGCCAGAGGGAGAAAACTGACAGCCCTGGGGCTCACTTCGCCCCCAGGGGCTTGCCATTGGTTCCAGTCCTGGTGATATCTTCCTCTTCCTTCCCGCCTCAATTAAACGTCTAGCGGCTTTCCCCCACAAAAGGCGCGGGCAGAGGTTTCCTCTCTCTGTTTAAGTAAGAATCCTTGATGTACTTCTTCGCTAGGCAAATCATGATTTAGGGCAAATGGTTGCAGTCCTTCAGGTGTGTAAAGGACAGGAAGGAAGATTGTCAAAGCATCTGTTGCTAGTTCCACTATGGAGGGAGTTGCTGATGGACAGATCCGGTGTTCTTGGCTGTTTTCTCCTTTAATTAAAAAATCTGTCCTCTGTTGTTTAAAAAACAGTCCACTGCATTAGAATCTTTTGAAGATGCACACTTTGCTTATTATAGGCTTTGATATGCTGCCCTGTAGTCCAGAATCAGGACAGCTGGTGAATATATGATGATACCAAAATAATTAAGTGTGCATCATTTCTTTTCCTGTGCTGATTACTGTAATTTGCTTTCATATTGTTTGTTGCTCTTCTTGTTATGCCAAATTCTGAGAATGTTTGTTAGGCAGACTAAAACTGTACTAAATTCTGAGTCATAAAAATACATTCCTTTTGCATAGTCCACTCAAATATGCACACAATTTCATGGGCTTCCCATATTTCAGATGGGTGCTCTGGATAGCCTGCTCCTTTCTATGTTTAATTGAGAAGAAGTCTAACTGATTTCAGTGGAGCTTTCACACACTCAAATATATATAGGATTCCAGACACTGTGAAAGGATGGCTCTTCACCTTCCAACTGCAGCACATTATTTTGTCTAGCTATGCACCATTTGCTACTTTTCTTCCTTTCCACCTTTGTAACGCTCATACTAATAGATATATGCTTCTTGGTAAAGGTAGGCTTAATGGAAGCTATCCAACTAGATTCACCTGCAAATGTTAAATTTTAGTCTCCTAGTTACAGTTCAATAAAAGAATTTGAAATATATTTATATAAAGAAACATGGAGCATGAAGGCACAGTTTAATTTATTTCAGTTCACAACAGTAAACAGAACACTGCCTAGGGAATGGACTGAAATTTGGTTTTGCAGGCATACGTACAGCAGAACTTGGGGGCAATTTTCTTCCTTTCCAACTGTGTGCCAGTGTGTAGTGTAGTCCATTTACCTGCTCACAGAACTCAGTGGAATCTACTGCAAATCTTCGTATAGTTCTGCACAGGTTGTTGTTTTAGAACATACCAGAATGTGACAGTGTAACATAAAAACTGAGCCTGCAAACTGTGTATTATTGAACCATACATTACTAAATCATTCTGTAAGCGGATTTGCTGAGATGGAAAGATATGCAAAACATCTCAAGAACACTGAATGGGTATAATAAAGAATGAATAGATGATGCTAAATAAGAGTTTCATTGGAAGTCTGGTAGTACATATGTAGCTAGATACACAATAAATGTATCGGATGGGGAAAAGTGTTCTTGGAAAAAGAACCATTTCCAAGTGAATGTTGAGCTTGCTTTGAATATTGTAGAAAAGCTGTTTGGATTACTTTATGTATGTTATAATTGGATATAAACTAATTCAGAATAATTGAGTGGAGAAGAACTTGGAGTAGAAATAATTGCATATTTATTTATTAGATTTTTAGGGCACTGTAATGTGAATCTCAATAGTTTACAAAGGAAAACAGGCACACTACAATAATATGATAATAAATACAATCACAACAATTAACTGTCTTAAAATTGGAGGATGTAAACAATTTCTATAGTGCTGTCTTAAGTAATTAAAAAGGCCCTTTGGAAGAGTTCTGTATAAACTGCTTCTGGAAGGCCATCAAAGGAAGCCTGATCTCTAATAATAAGCTATTCCACAATATGGAGGTTACAATGGAGAAGCAACTTCTTTTAGCCTCAGTCTCTTTGATCTTCCAGGAGTGGGGGGCTCCCAACAGTTTTCCTCAAGTTACATGTATCAGATGGACTGATTCTGGATAAAGGAGTGGGTTCTGCAGATATCTTGACACCAAACCATATAGGGCCTTTTTGATTAAAACCGGCACTTTATATGATTTATTTTAATCTATCGCACATACTTGAGTTTAGCTCTTGGCAATTTCTAGAGAAAGATGAATTTCAGATTCAAATTAATATTTGTTAATATTTAGAATTGCATATTATAATATATCTGTGTGTGATTTGGAGAACAGAGAAAATTTTCCTTCGGTTTCATTTTGTGTAGGCACCTTGTCCATTGATCAGTTTGCAGATGGGATTGTTTTGCTATTCTTTTATACTCCATAGGTTAATGTGTGGTAAGAGACTTAATATGAAGATGCATTAATTGTGGATGGTCTTCCCCAGTAGGAAGCAGGCCACCTGAAAATAGGCCATGGGGCAACAAACCATCAGTGTAATAAGAGTAGAGAGACTGTCTGCCTACTAGA